GGGCATTGATTGCAAAGCTGTGTGAGTGATTATCGTGCAACTCACGGACCATCCAGGCATGAGGAAAAATTATTAAAGCAAAGGAGAGATGATCAACTCGGAATAACAATAAGCTGTAACATTTTAAGGCCCCTAACTTCGGCAACCGAGAAGATTATGCCACTGCTTTGAAACATCGCCATTCCCAAAGCTTTTGGGCACCTTGTGTCCTTCCTGTGGCCCATCATCTTTCAGCTTTTTGTCAAAACAAGAACAAGCCCGAAGTACTTTCCTCTATCTTTGTATTGGCCACCACAAGGGAAGCGGACGGAAAAGAAAATTCTTGGGTTTTCTTGGAAGTTTCTTGATGAACTCCAGGGAGAGGAAGGAGGAAAATTTTGGCCACTGATGTTCAAGAGATGTATATTTCTGCTTCTAAATACAGGTAGTCCTCAACTTATGACTCAAATTTCTGTTGTTAAGTGAGATATTTGTTAAGGGAGTTTTGCCCCATTTTACCACCTTTCTTGCCACAGTTAAGTGAATCACTGCAGCTGATAAGTTAGTGATCTGGTTCTTAAGTGAATCTGTCTTCCCCATTGATTTTGCTTGTCAGAAGGTGTGGTTAGCCGGCAGCAGGTGCAGACAGCTGAGGAGAACGAGGACTCAGATGAGGGGCCAGGACCATTAGGGAGTGGACTGCTGCCTTCAGAGATTGTGGGAGCTGGCAGCAGCGATGAGGAGGTTCCCGAGGGGCCTGTGTCAAGTGCGCTTGCACGAAGGGTTGCTCGGAGGAAAGAGCAGTTACAACAGCACGGGCGGCTCAGGAAGAAGGCTGCAAGGTAATGGCCCCTCCTTCAAGAGGATAAAAGACGGCTGTGAAATTAACCTTCTTTGCAGAAGGCAAAGAAGTTTTGAACTCAGTCTCATGGACATTACAGTTGGTATTTGAAGACTCTTGTACACTATTTCTTATCTGTTGTTTTTTGTCAACTTGAAAAAACTTGGCAAGGCTCTTTTTTGTCAGAGCTAATTAGTTGGAAGCAGCCTTTTATCTGTGAAGAAACAAGGATTCTTAGCTGAAACTTAAACAAATTATACTGCTGCCTTCATCTTGTGTTTGCTTTCTGGGGACCAGGTTTGTGGGTCAGAACAGAAGGTTGCAAAAGGGGATCACATCCATGGGACCCAGCAACCGTCATAAATATGAACTGGTGGCCAAGCATCTGAATTTTGATCAGCTGGCCATTTGTGTGATCAAAGTCGTACCTGTGAAAAATGGTCATAACTCACATTTTTCAATGCCATTATAACTTTGAATGGTCACTAAATGAACTGCTGTAAGGCTAGGACTACCTGTAAAGGTTTCCATGACAGAAACAAGCACTTTTTGAAAGCTCTTTTTTTCCCCCTTCAAAAACTGTTTCAAATTTCCAGGCACCAATGTAAAATACAAAGAGCCAGACATGCTCAACAATAGCAAGACCAGAATATTCTCTTTTTAGATAGATGCTTTATATAGTTTGAAGTTTCTCTCTTCAACAATATGGCCGGATAGAATTAAATATTGTCGTTTTTGGCAGTATGTTCTCCTTGCTCAGGGATTTTTCCTCTCATCTACCGCATTTGTTAAACAAAAATGAAGTACATCATTGCAACAGATTGCCTAGATTAATGATAAAAAGTCTAGATTAAGGAAATAGTTAATCTGTAAAAATCTATGCTTAGGTATGGTTATTGTTATATTATGATGAACCTGGTTTTGCTGGTAGGATGAAATGGGAAGACACAGTGAAATTTGAAACAAAATCAACAAAATAAATGAAACCATAGGTTTACAAGCGTTCTTTGCCCATTGTGTTGTCACAGAATTAGAATAAACTACAAACAAACCCACTTTCCCCCTTTTCTTAGTAATCAATGTTAGCATAGGAATTTCTCTACTGTGGTGACCATGTGCTAATTCTCTATGTTGTATAAGAATGTTTTATCACCAATTTCAGAATAGTGAGACCACATTTGGCCTTATTTATACATCAATAACCTTTTCTCCATCTCATGTTAATTGAGATCCACAATATTACTCAAAGTGGAGAAGAGTAGGGTAAGACTTAATACAGTACAAAATTCAAAGTAATGAAGCCAGTTTGGTCTAGTGGTGAAAGTACCAGATTAGAATTCCTGCCTTAGGCATGAAAGCCCTCTGGGTGACTTTGGGCCAATCACCAGGAGACAGTGAGTTCTTGTCCCACCTTAGGCATGAAAGCAGGGTTGGGTGATGACTTAGGGCCAGTCACTCTTTCTCAGCCCAACCCATTTCACAGCGTTATTGTTATGGGCAAAATAGGAAAAGGAAGGAATATTAAGTATTCTCACCACTTTTATTTACAAAAATAATAAAAGGCAGGCTCAAAATAAATATTTAAAATCATAAATGTCTATGGAGATTCTCAGTCATCCAGGTCATGGTTGTCCCAAAGGTGCTTTTTCAGGAGGCAGCTGGACTTTCTTGTTTTTCTTTGAAGATGTTTTGCTTCTCATCCAAGAAGCTTCTTCAGCTCTGACTGGATGGTGAAGAATAGAAGGATTTATACTCCTTGAAGACAGGAATATAATATTGGGTTCAATTGCTGGCAGCTCCAAGTTTCCACTACCAAGCAAGGCAGTTGTTAAGTGAGTCAAACTAGATTTTATGACCTTTTCTTGCCCTGGTTGTTAAGAATAGAATATAGAATAGAATAGAATTCTTTTATTGGCCAAGTGTGATTGGACACAAGGAATTTGTCTTGGTGCAAATGCTCTCAGTGTACATAAAAGAAAAGAGACATTCGTCAAGAGTCAAGAATCATCAGGTACAACACTTAATAATAGTCATAGGGTACAACAAGCAATCAAATCATACTAGGAAACAGTCAATAATTAATTAATTAATTAATTACCAAGCACCCAAATTTTGATCACACAATTGTGGGGATGCTGCAAAGGTTATACACGCGAGGACCGGTTGTAAGTCACTTTTTTTCAGTGCTGTTTTCTCAGAAGGTCGCAAAAGGCGATCACATGATCTCAGGAAACAGCAACGGTCGTAAATATGGACCAGTTGTTCAGCATCTGAATTTTGATCACATGATCATGGGGGAAATGTTGCAAAAGGTCGTAACTGTGAAAAATGCTCATAATCACCTTTTTCAGTGCCATTCTAACTTTGAACAGTCACTAAATGAATGGTTGTAAGTCAAGGCCCACCTGTAAGGGGAAGAAATGGAATCACACCTAATTTTGAGCCTCACATCATTCTAAGTAACAAAAGAAAGAAAGAAGCAGCTTGAAATTTTGCCTGCAAAGAACGAAGAAAGCTGCAGAATGACAGAAGATGAGACAAAAGGAGACGGACTCTAGAAACACTGATGCACTGATGATATTTCCTAGTCAAGTAATGAAATGTCTGCAAGACAAACAGCCAAATTCAGAGAGCACCAACGACCCTTCATTTCAACCCTGAGCTACAAATAATTCTCTTTTTCGGCAAGCTAGAAACAGCTGCTTTCTGGTTCCCATTTTCATCTAGTACAAAAAAGAAGCAAATATATGCAAATAGGCCCAAATAAGGCAGGATGCTAATCTCCCGTTTTCTTAATGCAAGTTTTTAATTCCTCCAGTCTTCGGAGTTCACAAAGCTCGATCGAGGGGTGTATGTGTGTGTTCAAACAGACCCAGCTACACTTCCAATAGTGAAGACATGAACTTTTGCCCTGCTTTTTTTAAAAAAATAAGGTCCTATTGAGAAATCTGACTGCCACCTCCCCAAATTAAAAGACAAAAATCCCCTCAGGTGCCCTGCTGTTTCAATTCCCAGCGGGCGTCCGTCTATGGCCTGCATTGATACTGTCATTTCAAAACTCCAAGAGCCATCTCCCTCATCCTCGCTCCCTCACTACAAGATTAAATGATTCATATATTGTTTAAATAGCTAGGATTCCCAGCTGTTTCCCCAGCAGCATGACGCATGGGCTTCCAGTCTGAGCAAGGATTGAAACCCTACCCTTCAAAGATTAGCTATAAATAAAAATAAAAAGATTGGAACTGTAAATGGAGGAGGGGAGGGGAGGGAGGGAGGGAGGAGAGTTGGTAATTAAGCCCTGTCAGGTCTTGTAAATTGACAGGGTTTACATTTACAGGGTGGGATTAAAAGAAAAAGATGGGTCTTGAAATCCCCGGCATGACAGGCAGTCCTCGAACTTACAGCATACAGCTCATTTACTGACCGTACTGACCTTTTTTCACAGAAAAAAGTGAATTATGAACGTTTTCAGTTACGACCTTTGCAGCATCCCTATGATCCTGTGATCAAAATTCGGATGCTTGGCACAACGGGTTCATATTTATGACCGTTGCTTTGTCCCTAAGTCTTTGGAAGGCCTGGAAAAACAGGGAAAAACTAGCTTTTTTTTCCATCCATCCCTTTTCCCCAAAGCCATTTGGAAAAAAATGGGGAAAAGACTCTTTCCCACCCCAATTTTTCCAGGTTTTTTGAGGCCTTTCCGTGTGATCCCGTTTTATAATCTTCTGACAAGCAGTCAATGGGGAAACCAGATTCACTTAATAACCGACTTACTAACCTATCAACTGCAGTGATTCACTTAACCACTGAGGCAAAAAAGGTCCTAAAATGGGACAAAACTCATTTAACAAATGTGCCACTTAACAGAAATTTTGGGCCTCCTTTGTGGTCGTAAGTCGAGGATGACCTGTATAGGGGACACCATATCTGACCTGTTCTGCATCCAGAAATGCTTACCTTGATTTCGGAACTGTGTTCCAGGACTCTGGGCACACAGATAAAGATTTTCTCATCCTCTCAATTGTTTTCAATAAACTCTGGGACCTTCCCTTTAGCTTCTCTCCAGGTACACAGTTCGCTGATCCTTCCAGCTAGACGGTGTTTGCTGTGATGGGCAAAGTTTTGCCCAAATCTCTGGCAATTTCTTCACCTGGTTGCTATCTAGCAATAGCACTTAGACTTATATACCGCTTTACGGTGCTTTACAGTCCTCTCTAAGTGGTTTACAGAGTCAGCCTATTGTCCCCAACAATCTGGGTCCTCATTTTACCAACCTTGGAAGGATGGAAGGCTGAGTCAACCTTCAGCCTGGTGAGATTTGAACTGCCAAATTGCAGGCAGCCGGCAGTCAGCAGAAGTAGCCTGCAGTACTGCACTCTAACCATTGCGCCACCGAGGCTCTTCTAGCTCTTGAATACAATATGCCAGGGTTGCATGTAGAAAAGGTGGAAAGAAACAATGCTCTGTAGGGTCCTTTGTGCTCTCTGAGCTTGGTGGTTTTCTTGCAGACATTTCATTACCGAACTAGGTAACATCATCAATGCTAGGAATGAAACGTCTGCAAGAAAACCACCAAGCTCAGAGGGCACACAGAACCCCACAATTCAACCCTGAGCTACAAAATAGGCTTTTCTATCGGCAAGGATGCTCTATTTCCGTGGTCTTTCTTCTCAAGGTTCCCAATCTCCGTTCACCCTTCTTTCTCCAACTGAGCGGTGGTCCATCTGCCCTTTCACTCAACTCACACAGAGTAGCGGTGTTATTAACAGCGCACGACTGACCCAAGCCGAATACTATTGTCTCCAACATTAATCTAAATGGTACAAACTCAGCTCTAAGGAAGTGGTGTGCAGAAGGAAAGAGAGAGCTAGGACTTTCACAGGACAAAATACAATGCAAGGTTGCTACCATTTCTAAAACTGTTTTTGCAAAAATTTCCATAGCCTTCAAAAGGTCTGCCCTAGTCAGGTGCGGTTGTACCAAAAAAAATAAAATAGATTTTACTGTTTATATTTGAACTTAAATGTATAACCTACTGTATTGTCTTCATGTGTGTTGTTAATCACCTGTACTGTCTTTCTATACCTATACTGTTTTTAAGAAGAGATTGGACCACCAGTTCTCTGAAATAACACAGGGTTTCCTTCTTGAGCAGGGAGGGGGTTGGACTAGAAGACCTCCAAGGTCCCTTCCAACTTTGCAATTCTCCCTCCCCCCTTACGATCTGAACTGTGCTAGCTTTAATTTAAAACTGAACAGGGATGTGTTTTGATTAGAAAATGGACATTATTATATTACTTAAATTTATTACAACCGCCCCTTTTCCAAAACACTCTGGGCAGTTTGTGTGGTACTCAAATACATAATTAAAAAAAAAAATTTAAAGACATAAAATAAGACAAGGCGGGCCAAACTAAAAACAACTGCATCAATACAAACAATAAAAACACGATAAATATAATAAGGGCTCCACAAGCATGCTAACCCCTAGGCCTGGAAACACGAGCAGGTCCTAAGGGCCCTGAAGAAACACAGGAAAATGAGTGCTGTTTGTATTTTTGGGGGATGTTGCCCCAGAGGGTAACAACAAGGGACATTTCTTTGATCTCACAAAAGGACGGTGTTTAAGTGAGGGGACCTGAAGCAATACCCATTGTGCCTGAATGTAGTAGGCAAGCAGGAAATTAGAGACAGGTAAAGGTAAAGGTTCCCCTCACACATACGTGCTAGCCGTTTCCAGCTCTAGGAGGCGGTGCTCATCTCCGTTACAAAGCCAAAGAGCCAGCGCTGTCCGAAGACGTCTCCGTGGTCATGTGGCCGGCATGACTAAACACTGAAGGCGCACGGAAGGCTGTTCCCTTCCCACCAAAGTGGCCCCTATTTTTCTACTTGCATTTTTTTTTACATGCTTTCGAACTGCTAGGTTGGCAGAAGCTGGGACAAGTAACGGGAGCTCACTCCGTTACAAGGCACTAGGGATTCGAACCACCGAACGGCTGACGTTTCTGATCGACAAGCTCAGCGTCTAAGCGACTGAGCCACCGCGTCCCTGTAACAGACAAGACAGTCCCTCAAATAACTAGGCCCTGGGCCATAAAGGTCCCTCAATCAACACTTTGAATTGTGCCTGAAATCTGACTGGCAACACGTACAGCTCTAGTAGCAGTCACAAACAGACATAAAAAGAGAGGTGCCCATTACTGCTTGCGCTGCTGCGTATTGAGCCAGCTGTAACTTCTGGATGGTCTTCAAGGTGGCCTCAAGTTCATATAACATGCAAGGTTAAAATGTTGGTGTGTTTGTGGCTGGATTGCTGCATTTGCACACCACGCTCAACCAGAAAATGCAACCTCAGGTAGTCCTTGGCTGTTCAGATTTATGACAGACCCACAACATAACAGAGTAACAGAGTTGGAAGGGATCTTGGAGGTCTTCTAGTCCATCCCTTATGCTCAAGCAGGAGACCCTTATGAACGTTCTAACTTAGGTTCTGCTTTCTACTGATAGATTCTCTTTTTCTCCCTCTGCGTACTTGGAAACCAAAGTTGATCTATTACTTGATTAATCATCTGGGCTGCTCTTTATACTTAATTATTTTTTGGATGTTTTTATGGTTTCAATGTCTTTTAAATTGTATTAATTGTTTTCCAATTGTAAGCTTCCCAGAGTCACTTGGTTAAGTTGGGAGGCTACAGAAATGATTGATTGACTGACTGATTGAATGTTATATGCCAATCCTGCATCTGACTGGTATCTCTCTCTCTCTCGCTTCATCAGCTTACATGGAATTCTTAGTCTTTTTTGGCCACCTGGCCCTGCTCCGTCCCTGATCCACCATGCTGCCAACTCAGAGGAACTACAGGGAGTCCTTGACTTATGACCATGATTGAGATCAGAATTCCAGTCGCTAAGCGAGGTGGCTGTCCAATTTTACCGCCTTTTTCCCCATGGCTGTTTGCTGCAGTTAAGTGAATCATGTGGTTGTTGAGCATTGTTGGAAACCAGACAGGAAGGTCGCAAATAGAATATGATTCCAGATGCTGCTACCTAGTAAATATATCTTGGTTGCTCTTTGAGCGTGGTTGTTTTCTTGCAGATATTTCATTGCCCAAACTAGGAGTAGCAATAGCAGATTTATATACAGCTTATGGGGCTTTAAGCAGTTTAGAGTCAGCATTTTGCCCCCCAAAATCTGGGTCCTCGTTTTATCAAGGATGGAAAGCTGAGTCAACCTTGAGCTGATTCAGGATTGAACTGCTGGCAGTCGACAGAATTAGCCTGCAATCCTGCATTCTAACCACTGTGCCACCAGGGCTTCTCTAGTCCCTGATGATATTACTGTTCAGGTAATTATGATTTAATAGCTGACTAGCTGCTGTAAGGCTGCCGTAAATGCTGATGCAATGAGGATGAGTCAGCAGGATTATTGCCGCTTTAAGATTGAGGATGGGTCAGCAGGGTTATTGCCACTTTAAGAAGTTGTCTATATAAGGGAGGCCATGAGAGGGAGTATCTCTCTCTCTCCTCCTGTTCTATCTCCATTGTAGATCTCCGTGCAGAGTAATGCTAGCCTGGTATATGCCTACCACGTATATGTATGTATATAGCAGTCTTGTATATAAACCGCTGTTAAAAGACAAAGCCTCTCTGTACTGTGTTGTTGCTCCTGGGTTCTCTCACAGTTGTAGTCACACTGCAAACACTCTGACAATTAACTAGTTTGATGATGAAATGTCTGCAAGAAAGCCACCAAGTTCAGAGAGCACCAAGGATCCAACATTCTTCCCCCTCCTCCACCACCACCACTCCAGACACCCCACTCTCTTCTCATACTGATGTTGTTACTTAGTTGGGTCATGAAACGTCTGCAAGAAAACCACCAAGTTCAGAGAGCACCAAGGACCCTTCCTTTTAACCCTGAGCTACAAATATTCTCCTTTATTGATGCTGGTTGCCAAACACTTGAATTTTGATCATGGGGATGCTGTGATGGTTTTAAGTGTAAGGTACTTATTTGAATGCCATCATAACTTTGAACAGTCACTAAACGAATGGTTGTAAGTCAAGCAATGCTACCTATATTGCTGCCTGAAGAGCATGGCATAGCAGTTAATGTTAAGATCAAAGTTCAAATCTTGCATTATTAAGCTTGCTGTATGCAGCACTTCAACACAAATAATTCTCATTTACCCAGAATAAAATGTTGGAGAAACTTGCCTTCCCCTTCATAAATCTCACTTGTACCAAAAGCAAGAACAAAAAAATGATTTAATTTTGTGCATCAGCGTCCCGCACCGAATACAACCTGCGTTTCTACTTTCTCTTTCCTAAAAAAGCCAAGATTACATTTCCGGTTGGATATCACAGCCAGGGAAAGAACACAGAATCAACATAGCCCTATGGAAATTAAACAAGATTATTCTTTTAAAAAAAACCACACACATAAAAGATCAATGCAGTCATACAATTGATGAGCAACGCCCAACAGAGAATCGTGCATTCCAGTACTCTTTTTCTACGTAAAAAGAATAAGAGGAATCCTGGAGGGAAGTTTCCATGGAGTGGAATGTTTAATTAATGGGTCTCTAATGTGCAAATCAAGCTGAGATTGCTAGCTTTGACTCGCCTAAAAAGATCGGGTGCAAAAGAGACTTTAAGAGAGCTAGGTTGGTACGGTTGGCCTTGACTTATGTCCGCAATAGGGACCAGAATTTCGGTTGCTAAGCAAGGCAGTTGTTAAGGGAGCTATGCCCGAGAGCTGTGGTGATAGTGGTTAGAATGCAGTACTGCAAGCTACTTCTGCTGCCTGCAATTTGGCAGTTCGAATCTCACCAGACTCAAGGTTGACTCAGCTTTCCATCCTTCCGAGGTGGGTAAAATGAGGACCCAGATTGTTGGGGGCAATGTGTTGTGGCCCGCAAGCAGCCAGTGGAGCTGGCAGCAGATTTGGACAATGAGGAGGTTGGGGAGGAACATGGGCCAGTCCTGGAGTCTGGGGAAGGCTCTGATGAGTGCTGTGCGTTGGGAGGCAGAGATGGGGCCAGGGCCGTCTGACAGTTATAGGCTGCATTCTGAATTGGAGATCGGTAGGGCAGAAGAACAGCTGGAGCCTATTCCCAGTGTGCACATGCGCAGAGCTGCCAGGAGAAGGGAAAAGTTAAGGAAGAAGGGTCGACTCGGGAGTAAAAGCTCAGGTGAATGGCCCCTCCCATAGGGAATAAAGAGGAGTGAAAGGGGAGTGGTGTTTGCAGGAGACAATCAGTTCAATTCATTAGAGTGAAGAACTGTTCCTGACTTCTTGCCAAGTAATTTCTGCTACAGCATGGCGTTTGGAAGATATCGGCCTGGCAACTCTCCAAGCCTGATAAAAGGTCTGTAGTTGTGAAATCTCATGAAAGACTGTTTGCCGGGACTCTCCTGGAGAGGAATTCCCTTTAACCTAAATAAAAGGGGTTTTATCAGGACGAGGAGTCTGCTTCATGATCTTGGGAAGCTTAGGTCAAAACACAATGTGCCGACTCTGTAAACCGCTTAGAGAGGACTGTCAACCACTGTAAAGCAGTATATAAGTCTAAGTGCTATTGCTATTGTTTTTAGCCATGCTTGTTAAGTGAATCACTGCAGTTGTTAAGTGAATTACGTGGTCATTAAATAAATCCTTCTTTTCCCCCCATTAGACTGTTTGCTGGGAGTTCGCTGGGAAAGTCACACATGTCAATCACATGACCCTGGGAAGCTGCAACCATTGTTAAGTGTCAAGCAATAGGATACGTGAAATATATTTGAACATTTTTGTATTGCAAATTATTTCTTGTCTGTTATCTTTTGGCAGTCTCACACAGTTTGGCAAGGCTTGTGCTTTTTACAGCGAATTATTGTGTAAAACCATTGCAAGGTTTCTGTTCTTTTTGGATTGTGTTTGATTTGTCGGCAAAGGGCGTGGGTCAGAACATAGGGGGAATGAGGGTTAGGAGGCATTAGGTGTCATTATTGGGCACGGGGAGGGGGGCACGGTGGATTAGGCAATGGGCAGGTGTTAGGCTAGTTGGGAGGGGTGGAGAACGGATATAAACAGTGCTGAGAGGCAGTTGCTCTCTACGCTAACTTAGCACGGAGTTCCCTTGTTGTTGCTCATCGTGATTGGAAGAACTGAAATAAACCTTAACATCACACATCTTTATTTGTGAGTAACGTGGTTTGTTGTGGAAAGTATCCAGTACCCGACAAAAGCCGACACCGGGTAACTAACTTATCAACTGCAGTGATCCACTTAAGAACGATGGCAAGAAAGGTCGCAAAAGGGAGGCAAAACTCACTTAACCGATGTCTCACTCAACAAGAGAAATTTGGGGCTCAATTGCGGTTGAAAGTTGAGGAATACTTCTATAGAAGCAATCTGCAATGGGTAAGTCCGCAAACTAGGAAGCTAAAAACAAAAGGGATATGTGAATATCAGAAAAGAAGATGCAACTGGAAAAAAAGGCAGAAAGAGACTATAGTGCAAGTTGTATAGTCAAACACATCGAGACAAGAGAACACTGTCAATTAATGGAGGATGTCAGTCACAGTACTGGTAGTCCTCGACTTACAACAGTTCACTTACTGACCATTCGAAGTTACAACGGCACTGAAAAAAAGTGACTTGTGAATTTCACACTTGTGACCTTTGCAGCATCCGTCGTCATGTGATCAAAATTCAGACACTTGGCAACTGACTCATACTTATGACCATTGCTGTCCCCAGGGTCACATGATCTCCTTTGGCGACCTTCTGACAAACAGAGTCAATGGGGAAGACAGATTTACTTAATAATTGTGCTACTAACTTAAGAACTGCAGTGATTCACTTAACAGCCATGGCAAGAAAAGTCATAAAATGGGGCACAATTTACTTAACAAATGGTTTGCTTGGCAACATACATTTCAGGCTCAGTTGTGGTCGTAAGTTGAGGACTACATCTATTTATATAGAACATTAGGATTCTAACTGAAGTCAAAAAACCATACTTATAATACAGGTAGTTCTTGGCATATGACTACAATTAAGATTGGAACTTCCATCACTAAGTGGTGGAGCTGTTAAGTAAGTTGCACCCTGTTGTACGACCTTTTTTGACATGGTCTTTAAGTGAATCATCACAGTTCTTAAGTGAATTTAGCTTCCCCAATGACTTTGCTCATTGGAAGACGCCCTGAGATAGGTTGCAAAGGATGATCCCAGGAACCTGGCAACAATTGTAAACACGTGCTGCAGGATGCCAAGCATCCAAGTTTTGATAATGGGATTGTATGGACGCTGGAACGTTTGTAAGTGGGAGGACTGGTTGTAAGTCACTTTTTTCAGCGCCATCCTAACTTCCAATGGTTGTTAAATGAATTAACAAAATGGAATGGAATAGGATAGGATAGAGATATGGAAGGGAAGGGAAGGGAGGGGAGGGAAGGGGAAGGGAAGGGAAGAGATGAGAGGGAAGGGAAAGGGAAGGGAGGGAAGGGGAAGGGAGGGAAGGGAAGAGTAGGGAAGGGAAGAGAAGAGAAGGGAAGGGAAGGGAAGAGAAGGGAAGAGAAGGGAAGAGAAGAGATGAGAGGGAAGGGAAGGGGAAGGGAAGGGGAAGGGGAAGGGAAGGGAAGGGAATGGAAGGGAAGAGAAGAGAAAAGAAGAGAAGAGAAGGAAGGGAAGGGATGAGATGAGAAGAGAAGAGAAGAGAAAAGAGAAGAGAAGAGAAGAGAAGAGAAGAGAAGAGAAGAGAAGATATGGAATGGAATAAAGAATGGAATGGAATGGAATGAGCGGGAAGGGACCTTGAGGGTCTTCTAGTCCAGCCCCTTGCTCAAGCAGAAGAATCTATTCTATACCATTTCCAATAAGTGCCTGTCTCCACTAGGGGTGTCAACTCGATGTCATTGAAGGCCACATCAGGGTTGTTTGACCTTGGAGGGCCGGGGGGGGAGGGGAGGCATGCTCGTGAGGGCATGGCCATAGTGGGCGTGGCCATGGTAGACATGACTGGGACTCATGTCAGGGGCACTTGTGGCCAAGTGCTAAGGCAGGACTTCCCTGAGACCCTCCCTCCCTCTCATTATAATCTATCTCCTTCCTTCTTTCCTTTTCGTTCTCCTTTCTTCTTCCTTCCCCTCTTCCCTTCTTTTTTCCTTCCTTGCTCTCTTCCCATCTTTCTCTTTGTCTTTCCTCTTTTCCTGTCTCCTTTCCTGTCCCTTCTTGCACGCTCAAATGGAAAAGGGGAAACATTTCTCCTTTTGTTTTCGAAAAAAAGAGCCCAGGGGGGGAGGGCCGTGCGCGTGCCACCTGCACCCCCTTTTCGGCCGTGACGGCCAGCAAAAACAGAGCTTGTAGGACCACATGTGCCCCCCTGCCCCCCGAGCTCCTTTTGCGCTGGCAGAGGCACCGCAGGCCAATCCTTTGGTTTTTCCAGGCTGGCCCTGCAGGCCTTATCTAAGCACCCTGCGGGCCGGATTCAGCCTTGAGTTTGACACCCCTGGTCTAGTCTCTTCTTAAAAACCTCCAGTGATGGTTATAACCTGAGGACTCTCTGCATGCCTTACCTCCACAAGAGCCGAGGGACAGCTGAGCCTTCCTCTTAAGCATAAAACCCATTTCAACCTTATAGATGGGATTCCTATCTTCTGCCAAGCCATGGTTTTTGTTTTAACCATGGCTGTTGGAAGAAGGAAGGGACGCACGGTTTCAACGACCGTCCCGCAAACATAGGCCACCTCAAAGGTAAACAAAACGCAACATGCCTTAGTGCAATGTGTAAATCCAATGATTAGCTTCCGATTGACCCACAACGGTCTGTTCTTACGAAACCACCCAGCGTTGCCTCCTTCAGTGCAGCCGGATGAATTTTTATTTAAGGTGTGTGTGTGTGTGTGTGTGTGTGTGTGTGTGTGTGTGTGTGTGTATGATGTGGACAGCCCCTCTGCTCTCAAGGGTTTAAAGCCTAAACAAAGCGACACTGCCTCTTTAAAAAAAACCAAAAAAAAAACCCCAACCAAAGCCATCCTATATAAATTATGGCCATAAAGTTTTTTTTTTTTTTACCCTGCAGTGCAACCTAATTAATTCCTGTTCCATACACAAAGGGAAATGCTGGGTGACAAATGGGTGCGAAGCTTGAAAGCTGCCACGTCGGCAAAACACTTTCTACTTCAATTTATAAGCCATTTTGCAGTAAATCATCCACCAGAATCGGAGATCCTCAGGCCGGTGACAGCCAGGCCGTGCTGGGGTACGTAAAGCAAGGCGGGGAAAAAAAGGGGGGCTGTTTAGGGGAGGAGAAGAAGAGTTTTCCCTCACATGGCCACCTCCCCGGTTTAAAATTCCGGGCGGCCCCTTGTTCCACCATGGGTGTGGGTCTCTTTCATGCTTGCAGTGCTGCGCACATGAATGGCAACAACAGACTCACAACCACAATCGAGCCCAAACTCTTTATGGCTAAGTGAGACAGTGATTAAGTAAATTTTGCCCAACTTGACAATATTTCTTGCCATAGTTGTTAAGTGGACACTGCAATTGTTATGTTAGTGACATCCTTGTTAAAGTATGCCGGCTTCTCCCGTGGACTTTGCTTGTCGGAAGATCTTGCTTAGCTATGGAAATGTTGGGCTCATTTGTGGTCGTACATCGAGGACCACTACCCTGAAAGTAAGTCCTATCTTGATTTTTACACGTGTGCCCAAAATAAGCCCTACCCCCCACAAAATAAGCCCTAGTTAAGCTCCTGCCCACTCCAGGGTGCACGGGTAAAAATTAAGCTAGGGTAGGGAGCTGCCCTACTTCTTACCTTTGGACAATTGTAGGCAGGCCTCCCATACCCCAACACCTGCCTTGCCAGCCCATTTCTTCTGCAGCTGGCAAGGCTTTCCTGAAGGCCTCTGTAGCTGATGACAAAGCTCCGGATCGATCCAGAGCTCTGTTGTCGGCTGCAGAGGCCTTCAGGAAAGCCTTGCCGGCCGCAGAAGAAGCTCTTGAAGGCCTCTGACAGTGAAAAGGAGGCCGAGGGTGACACACGCTAGTGAGGTTAGTCAGTGGGTGACATCCCCCGAATATAAGACCTGGTGCCTTTTTTTTGATGCCCCCCCACCAAAAAAAGGACAGGGTCTTATTTTTGGAGAAACATGGTAGTCCTCAAATTATGACCACATTGTTAGTCACAGGTTTGTTTAGTGAATCTGGTTTCCCCATTGACTTTGCTGATCAGAAGGTCGCCAAAGGGGATCACATAACTCCGGGACAGTGCAACGGTCATAAATATGAACCCCTTGCATCTGAATTTTGATCACATGATCACGGGGAGGCTGCATCGGTCGTAAGCTGTGAAAAATGAGACAGAAGTCACTTTTTCCCCCCAGTGTTGTCATAACTATGATCTGTCACTAAATGTGACTGTTGTAAGTCGAGGACTGCCTGTAATATACAGCCGGGTTTCCTAGCCTTGGAACTTTAAGATGTGTGGGCTTCCCCAGCCATTGTGGGAGTTGAAGTCCAAGCGTCTTACAGATGCTGAAGTTGGGAAACTCTGATGCACATTATACAATAATAAATAACACAATATATATAGTGCACAATAATAGACAATGTTCAATAAACCCTCCTTCAAACATTTCTTAATAAACCTTTGAAGAGCAAAATTTGGTTGCCTGCCGTAAATCCTGCACTTTGGCACTTCCACGTTTTACACATTCTTGCGCCCTTTCCACCTAAGTAATGCTGAAAAGTCTCCCAGACACCCTTAAACAAACAACCAAACGCACAACCTACTGACCACACCGGCACACAAGACATTTATAAGCTAAAGGGGACTAGGACAAGAAAATCATACTGACGATGTTATATAGGGTGGTAACGAAACCTTCAGAAATGAAATTGAAATAAGGTTGGAGAGCAAACCATTGCCAAGATCTAAAAGCCAAGCTTTCATTTCACACTTAAACTAATCCCTGTGCGTTCAACTTTTTGCTTTGGATGGGGGAACGATAATGTTAATTAAACCAGTTGAGCAGCTACAAGCAGATGGCATCCATGTTTTTAATATTTCTTCCATGATGTACATCATCCTACACCCAGTCTCACCATTTCCCAACATTGTCACAGCATTTATGCCTTTCTCTCCCTGATTTTTAAGACACGCTTACAACATTTGTTTCAACTCCACTCTTCAACACATCACTATCATTCCTTTTTATATGGCTTAATAAAATACCCGACATTAAAAATCGAGATTTTATAAGAGTTGGAAGCGGCATCGAATTTTAAACTGTTCTGCCAAACTAGTTGCTGAACTTTGAGAATAGATGGGATTATACTATTTTTTATAGCTGAACTGCTTCTATGAAAGGAACAGGACCTCTGGGTTGATTTTCACAAACATCTCTGGTGCGATTAAATTTTTTAAAAAATTATTTTGTTTAAGGAATTACTTAACAAGCAGTGTTTTGAAAGCAACTGTTCTGACCTAGGCTTCCCCAACAGCACGAAGCAGAAGCCGAGTCCCAATAAACCCCTTTTATTTAATTTACAAATGAATTCTACTCCAGCAAAGCCCCGACCAACAGTCTTTTAAGATAGTACACAATTACAGACCTTTATCAGGCTTGGAGTGGGGCCAGGCCGATATCTTTCAGACGCCACAATACTTGGCAAGAATGCCGGAATGAACTCATTGTCTCCTGCAAAGCCCCACTCCCCTTTCACTCCTCTTTTATTCCCTATGGGAGGGGCCATTCACCGTCCACCGGAGCCTTTACTCCTGAGTCAACCCTTGTTCTTTAGCTGTCCCTTCATCTGGCAGCTCCGTGCATGCGTACACTGGGAACAGGCTCTAGCTGCTCTTCTGCCCCACTGATCTCCGACTCCGAAGGCAGCTGATAACTCTCGGACAGCCCTGGCCCCATCTCTGCCTCCGAGGCAGAGCCCTCGTCAGAGCCTTCCCCAGACTCCAGGACTGGCCCGTGTTCATCCCCAACCTCCTCACTTACCGAGTCTGCTGCCAGCTCCACTGGCTGCTGACGGGCCACAACAGCAACAGATAAATAGAAAAAAGTTCCACATTGATCATCTTTCATCATGATACCGTTTTTTTGCACGAAGAAGAATGTATTAAAAAAACTGATTTGCGAAGAGACAATAATTCATGTGGGTTGCAAGAAAATTATTAATCAGACAAAGATGAAATCCTTCAAGAGTCTCTCTTCAAAATAGTGAGAGCTAAATACATTTCAGTATCTACAACAGTTGCAGTCCAAAATTAATTACGAAAACAAAGTGGCATTCTAAGAGATCTTGTTAAGTTTGAAATATTTATCACAGAAAAATGCAGATAATTTATTGGGGACAATCTATATGCTGCGATTAAAGTCTGGTTCAAAAAGTAAAGAAGTAAAATACTACAGTATATGATTAAATAGGTGCAGAATTTAAATAAAACATCTGAGTCGACTATGGGCTACCCATGGCGAAATGGCAAACTCACCATAAACATTACATTTAGAGAAATCCAGTAAGAGAATTCGTACTATTGGTGTAAAACCAATATTGACTGTGAAAAGAGACAATTCCTTTTCTAAAAATGTCAGAAATTAAGAAGCATTTCTCCCCCTTTCCCCCCTCCTCATTTTTGGTGGCCGTATTCCAAAGTTCAGCAATTTTGGAAAATAATTTATTAAAGGATAAAACAAATCGAAAGTAGATTCCTCTTTTTTTATTTTCTTATTGAATATTTCTAAACTTCCTATTCCTTCAAACTACACAGAACTGGCTTTGTACACAGAAATAGCTGCTGTGATTCTTTATGTCAGTGGCCCCCCAACCTTTTGCGTACCAGGGACAGTTCCACGGAGGTTTTTCCGTGGGCCAGAGGGGCCGTGGTTTCGTGCACTGCCTGCATCCCTTGGAAGTGGTTTCACTGCCGTGTTTCTCCGAAAATAAGACCCGGTCTTATATTTAAATAAGCACTAGGGCTTATTTTCAGTGAAACACCATTTCAGAGTGATCAGCCCAGCTAGGCGCACCCGCCCCAGCCTACGCACAAGAGGCAGCCAAGTGCATGCAGACCGATGGTATTCGGCAGCCACCGAATCCCTTTAGTTGGCGCACTCTGGGTTTGCGCAGCCAGTGCAGCGCAGGTAAGTTGATTCCCTTTCCAAGCAGCAGACGGAGGCAGACGCGCAGAGGCGATCTGGACACGCCACGTGGGCCATGGGAAAGCCGAGAGTTGGTGGGCGGGAGTGGGTGAGTGGCCATGGGAGGCTCATCTTCGCACGGTGGCACTGGCAGCAGATGGAGGCAGAGAAGCAGGGGAGAAGGCAGGCAATCCCGACATGCCAGGCAGGCCGCAGGCAACTGAGCGATGGGAAGACGAGTCTCCCGCTGCCGGTTGGCCGCTCCGGTCCATGGTCTCTTAGCTTTCCCTCGTCCCACATGGTGCACGTGGATCACCTGCCTCCCTGCCTCCGTACCTCTGCCTCTGTCTGCTGCTTGGGCTGCTGCTTTATGCCTTCCGTTAGAAATTACAAATAACCCTGACTGCAAGATGACAAATAAGTTATAGGAGTATATAGCCCAATGTCAAAACTAACTTTACATTTGAAAAACAATTTGGATATAGTTTTTAATTCAATGTGATGGGGGTGTCACATTCAAAGTTCTTTATTTTCTATAATTTTAGATTTTAATATTCAACTTTTAATCCCCCCCCCACCAACTTTCTTCTAGATTAGGAACACATTGTTGCTGTGATGACCCAGGGCATGGCACAAAGGCAACACAGTCAAATAAGCAACGAGAGTCCCTTTGTTATCTCCAACTTTGCCCCCAATGTCCAAGTTACCTTTGGCTGGAGAAAAACTCTCCCAGGAACAGCCTTTAACTGTAGAAAATTCAGTCCAAAACAAGGTACGTACAAACTGTAACTAAAAATCCAAACAAACCAAGCTGAAGTAATTAGCTTGACAGGGCAGGAGAAGGAATTTCAGACTTGAAAACACAGCAAAACTCACACAGTTGGGAAGACGCCAAGAACACAGATAAGCCACAACAATACAAGATAAATTCACATTTGCTCCCAACAGCTTGCTGCACACAACTTCCCTTTTTATACACTGTGTTCCCAGCTGCAGCTAATGAAGGGAATCAGGGCCTTTTCCTCCCCCGTAAGCTATGCAACTCACATTGCTCCCTTCTCCATTCCTCCCTGCGTGCCCTAGGATGAAGAGGGGGTGGGCCTGGGTCTTCCTCTGAATTCCCTCTCCCTTGCCCTGTCCAGCTGGACTTTGCCCTTCCCCAGTTTCTTCCACAGCCAATGGAGCCACACTCCCACTCCCTGTCAGCTATTCGGCTTCCCCTTCTGAGTCAGATTCTGACAGGGGCATGACAGTTATATTTTTTTAAGACGTTGCTGATATTGCTGATATTGCTAATATTTGTCACAGTTAATTATTGCATAACATTCTAATTTTAAGGCTGACTTATTTTAATTCCTTCAAACTTTCCAACTGATTTGAATCTGATTTTAATTCAGGTAGACCCGGACTTGCAACAAGTTGCTTAACGACTATTCATCCCCCAAAGGCACTTATAACATTTCAAAGGTCCAATGACTGCCCTTCTACCCAGTCACATGACCTTTTGGGTGGTTGGCAATTGGCCTGGATTTACGGCTGTCTGCAGCATCCTGTGGTCATGTGACCATTTAAAACCGACATTTATGGTTTTTTTTTTGCCAAAAACTGGGACCTCCTTCTGGTTTCCACAAAAAACAATGTGTTGGCTTAATGACCGCAATATTCACTTAGCAACCACCCCACAAAAAAGGTTGCAAAATCAGGTTGGTCACATGATGACCTGCCTTACGACCACCATAATTTGATGGTTGTAATTGTCAGGCTCTATTACAGTCCTAAATCAAGGACTACCTGTAGGCGGGTTTTATATCGCTGTTATTTTGATATTTTATAGCGTACTTTATTATGCCTGCATCCATACCTTTTATTTTATTTTTCATTTTTCTTATCTCTTCCCTATTTTTTTCTCTGGCCGCATCTGTGAAATTCATCACAGGCAAATTATGTTTTTTTTATTTTTCTCAGGCCTTTTAATCCCCTATATTTCCATAGCTGTGACCTATTTTAAATTTAGTCTTATTTTTATAATACTTTAT